GCATGCACATTCAATCCAAGGGTGCAAGGGAAGTCAAGTAGTGGAATGTTGACGGCAACGGTGCAGAATGTGTGCCATGTTGATGGAAGCTTTGCTCAGCCTTTTGGCCAAGAAGACCTGCATAGCTGCGTGCATAGCTGCGTGTTCCCCCCCGCCCCTCCCGCTTGTTTTCGTGCAAGCATGCGTGGCTATGTTTCGTTCATCCCACCCCCACTCAAGTTCGCTCAGGGGGATCTCTGAGAATCGATAGGCGCTGGCGGTGTTGTCCATGGCGCTGTGGGCGGTGCTGGTGGGATTCTCCAGACACCACCTGGGTGTGCACAGCTTAGCGCAGGCCAAGGGCGGTTGGGCGGTTGGGCCGAGGGCCCGTCGCTACCATTGGCTATGAAATTCAATTGGGAACCCTCTGAAAAGCCGTTGGTGGATGCAAATCCCCACCGAATGCTAATGTCTATCAAAGGGTGCCCTATTAAAATTCAACCCACATCAAGAATATCACGAGGTGCCAGGAAGCCATTTTTGAGCTTCTGGAGATGGTAGGCGAGTCATTGAACAGCTCACTGCCTTCTTTTTTCTGCATTCTGGGTGCGCATGTCCAAAACAAGACACTTCCTTGATGTTCTAGTGTGTGACAAAGGGAGGCCCGCAAAATGAACCCAGAAGCTTGGTAGGGGAAGGCCAATTCGAAGCAGTTCATAGTTGGGTATGTCTCCCAATCTGGGGACCCTGCAAATAGTGTAGCCTACCAATCTAAAAATGGCCACCATACGGAAAAAGGCAACCAAAAAGTCCCATTTGTCATTGGCTGGCTGGTGTTGCCCTGAGTTGGGCTTCGGTGCGCTCAAGAGAAGATGGACGGACGGACGGAGGGGCGGACGGACGGACGGACGGAGAGGGATTCCAACATGCTCTCGAAACAAGTTGAATGTGCGTGTAGATTTATACATTATGCATAATCATACACACGAATATATGCATAGGAATGCATATATATATATATATATATTCATGTGATGTACTCTGCTATGTGCACATGATAATGTTTGTTGTGTTGATGGTTTCATGGATTTGTTGTTGGTTATGTATTTATATACATATGTGTTTATGTGTGTTTGTTTGTTGATTGTTGTGTTTAGTTGTTTAGTTGCATTTTGTTTGCTTGCTTGCTTACTTACTTATGTATGTGCTTGCTTGCATGCTTGCTTGCTCGCTCGCTCGCTCGCTTTCTTGCTTGTTTGTGTGGTTGCGTTCTTTCTTGTGTGTTTGTTTGCTTGCGTGCTTGCTTGCTTGCTTGCTTTGTTTTGTTGTTGCCTGATTGTTTGTTGTTTTGTTTGTTTGTTTGTTCGTTTGTTCGTTCGTTCGTTGGGTTGGTTGGTTGGTTGTTTGGTTGGTCATTGGTGGTTTGGTTGTTTGTTTATTTGGTTGTTTTGCTGTGTGTTTGCTCGTTTGTGTGTGTGTGGTTTGGTTGTTTATTTCCTTCAATGTGTTTTGTTTGTTTGTTTGTTTGTTTGTTTGTTTGTTTGTTTGTTTGTTTGTTTGTTTGTTTGTTTGTTTGTTTGTTTGTTTGTTTGTTTGTTTGTTTGTTTGTTTGTTTGTTTGTTTGTTTGTTTGTTTGTTTGTTTGTTTGTTGGTGTGTTGGTTTGTTGGTTTGTTGGTTTGTTGGTGTGTTGGTTTGTTGGTTTGTTGGTTTGTTGGTTTGTTGGTTTGTTGGTTTGTTGGTTTGTTGGTTTGTTGGTTTGTTGGTTTGTTGTGTGTTGTTTTGTGTTGTTTTGTTTTGTTTTGTTTGTTTCTTTGTTTCTTTGTTTGTTTGTTTGTTTGTTTGTTTGTTTGTTTGTTTGTTTGTTACTCTTGTCGGTTTGTCAGTTGGTTTGTTTTGTGTTTGTCATGCTTTATTTTTTATAAATTACTCATGCTTATTCATTCATCAATATGTCGGTTGTTCATATTGGTCTGCTCAGAGGTGAGCGCTTTGCTGTGTTCCACTTTTCCGCCACAGGGCAACATGGAATGAAGTCATCCAACAGTCGAGCCTGGCGAGCCGCCTGACAGGTTGGCAGCATGAGGATGGTTCGAATCTTCAATGAGTTTCCAGATGGGGAGACTCCTTCCTGGCTTCATGACACACAAGTTAGGTCATTATCGTATCCCATGTTGAGATGTGTAAGCAAGAAAGTCCAATTTGGCACATTCCCACTTGATCACCTGTTGGCACAAAGAACGTTCACCCCCAGTGGTTGTCAACGCCGCAATTGGGAAGACACCTTCATGCCCTCCCCCCGGGCTCCCAGCAACTCGATTGGGACCCTGATTCCCAAGAATCAACTGGCGTGTTGTTTTTCCACATGGGCTGAAACAGTTGGCCTTTTGAAATGCGTCGGATTGCGTCGGGTGACCTTTGGAAGAAAAAAAAGACGTCCCGCAGGTGCTCTGTGGCACTTTGCTGGGGCTGCTGGCAGCACCTGCTGGGGCACCAAAGCGGGGGGGGGTACCGAGATCTTCTCGGTGCTTGTTTTGGTGTCTCTTTCTGAGGTCGGGTTGTTGGGTTGGTATAAGAAAAGGTCATTGTATTCGGCTTTGTATCTGGTTGAGTTGGAGTTGGTGGTGGGTTTACGTGATGAGATTGGTATGAGGGAGGCGACATGGAGCATCGTAGAGCTTGGATACACAATCTGCGTAATGCTGGAACTTTGAGGTTGAGTGGCAACTTGCGTTTGGTCTTCCGTGATGGCCGGAACTGGCAGTTGCGTAGAAACATGGCTGGCAACGTGATAACATGATGCATAACTTTGTAGATCTGCGTAAGAAGTTGGATGTACAGTATATGTGTTTCCGTTTATGTTCCTGTGGTTGCATGGGAAAAGTTGGCCCTGCCTCAAGAGGCTGGAGAAAGCTCCGCCACGACTTATCCAAGCGTGACAGACCCAGGCAAGGTTGCATTCCAAGTGCATGATGGCTGATTTCAGGCTGCTTTGCTACGAATGACTGCACCTGGCCTTGGCATGTATGCCAAGCCGGCCGCATTCACAGCGTGTGTGTTTTCTCGTAGGAAGTGGTTATCCGCTCCGCCCAATGGCCGGTTTCAAGTCATTCAGGTCTAACTTGGTCCTTTGTAGCACATTTGGAAAGGCGCAAACAGGGTGCACGAGAACAAGACTATCCCTCAGATCGATGCAAGCTGATTCCCTGGGCAGGCCCTCGTGGTTTTTTGGGCCCTGAGTAAAGAGGGGCCTTCTTTTGGGATCGGAAGGTGCACGCCAGCCAAGCACTGCACTGGGAAAACAGAAGCCTAGGCCTAGGCCATGTTTCCGATGTCGTTAATTGCTTTTGCCCCTCAAATGAGTGGTAGCTGAAACCGAGAATATGACGTGTAAAGCATCCTAAACCTTGAACCAGAAGGCCTGGCACTTTCGATGATGTGATCCGGAGAAGGTACGAGAGTATTGATGTCATTATTCTACTTACATGCTATTCCAAGCATTGTGTGATGTTGTTGTGCTTTATTTGTGAAGATGTGTGATGGCGTTGTATCATTGCTTGAGGTAGGTGTTTTGATTGTTGTTATTCTCATGGCTGTTTTTCTTCTGATAGCGTGAAGGCCTACAAAGCTCAACCTTGTAGGCTATTAGGTCAGGTCAGCTGGACCAGCTTGCATTCAGCTTCCATTTGTGTTGGGAATATCCAAAGATCTATGAGACGCACTAAACGGCTGCCAGGGTGCCAGTGTGTTTATCACATCACGCTGTGACTGGCTGGTTGTCTTCCTCATGGCAGGCGTGTCAAAAGCAGAACTTGTTGTCCAGGGGTTCTCCACAAAAAAAGAATAATGTTCCAGCCATCGCATATTTCATGGTTTATAGGTCTATAAGCGCGATGCGTCGCAAAGGCAGTTGCACACTTCGGGTCCTCAAGCCGTCGCGCTCAGGTTTGGTACCTGGCGGAGATGCGGCTGGCAAAGCCTTTGGCACAAATTCAGAAGCTGGTCGACAAAGTGTGGTCGGCCCTGGACATTCGCTGCGATGGGTATGCTTGCCATAAGGAATAGCCCATAGCCCCGTTTAGGTCTCACTTGCAATTTGTGGAAACAAATGCATGGGTAGTGCCTATTCAGTGGGATGTGTGGTGCACCCTCAATGTGCTGTCCTCACATATCTCTGCAAGGTGTTGACATTGCTGCCAAGAAGTGCTCACATGTGGAGTGCGGAGCCTTCTCATTCCTTCCACCTGCGGGTCACCTACGGCTTTGATAGCCGAAAGTTTGATTCCCACACCCCTGGGAGTCGCCGCAAGTCGTCCGGATGCTTCACAGGCACGGATCTCAAGTAGTTGATCTTCAGGTTGGCCGAAGTTGGCTGGCTGCTTATTGCGCCATGAGAAAGTGGGCGGCTCGAGGAAAAAGCAGCTGCCCAAAGGGCTCGAAGAGCGGGGTCACGGCAGCTGTAGGTCATGCATCAGAGGTCGCGGATATCTATCGGCAAGCACAGCAGAAACCAACATTCCATGCGTCCTACTTAACAGGCATGTTGAAGAACGTTTCAAATGAGTTATTGCTCTTTGGCAGATGTGCTTTGTTGTGTGACGGCATCGTGCACAAACTCAAAGGTTGTGCATGATGTTAATGATTAACGGGCAAGTCAGAGATAAAACGTCCAGCCATGTCTGTTGATTCTATGTATTTCAGGGGCATGGTTCACCCTGAGCCAGTCTTGCATGTTGCCTTGCTGGTTTCCTGACCGCAAGGCAGGCATGAAAAAGCGCGTTCCACATTCCTTGTTTCCCATCAAGCAAAAATTGTGAATGCTAGGCGCATTTGACACCCACTCAAACAATTCGGCTCTCTCTCCATTCTGCGACTCAGCCGTAGTACACCGAATTGCTTTTGCTCAAAGCTGGGAAAAGGTCAGGAGCAGCATCGTAGCAAATCAAGCTTAAGTTTGAGTGTCCTCAACTTGCTGCTTAGCTCATGTGGAGACAGGAAACTGCTCTGAGAAGATTAGTGGTGCCCTTATAAGTACTGAATAACAATAAGACCATGGAGCACCCAATCAAACGACGGCGGAAGAGTGCAGCACCTTGGATGGCAAGCAGCATTGACGGCATTCAATCTTGCTCGCGAGTCCAGATGTCCCCACTTGTTCAGTGGCATGTTTGCTTTTCAGACCGATGTGCTATCACTTGTTCACGAAAGCTACAGTAGCTATGCTGGCATTGAGTTGTTTTTTTGCTTTTGCTTTAGTAATTTAGGTGCTGGGCCAACTTCAGGGGTTATTCCCCAAGCAGTGCGAATACACTGCGTGCGGTTTTTGCGCCTTGTATTCCCAAGCTGTCTAACCTCAACCAAGCCCAAGCAACTTTTTGTGGCCATGCTGTTGCGTTGTGTTCGGCGCTTACTTTCATTTTATTTGTGCGAATTCCTGCCCCAAATGTAATCATTTTTGACCACAGTTTGGGGTCGCTTGTCAAGATACCTTTCAATGCTGGGGGGTACTGGTTTGCATTGCTTCCGAAGACTTTACTGCCCACCCGCCCCGCCTGGTGAAGGGTTCGATTCCCCACCCTGGTCCGCCCCACACTACCAGCACATTCTCGTGCGCGATTGTTGGCGGCCAGTGTCAGCACCTGGCCCAAGGTCTTTGGGCGTGCATGTAAAGTGTCTTTTCTTTACCTTGGCAACTACTGAGTTGCATATGTCGTTGTTGGGCTGGCTAGTTTTCGTTCACCGGCCTCTCAAACTATGGCCACTGAACACCTACGTTTGCTTGAGGCCTTGCTTCCAAGTTCTTCTCAGGTAGTCTTGCCTCTACCTGATGCAGGGGCCTTTTTTGGGTGGATTCTTCTCCAGGGCCTTCATTCAAGTCTGACTCAGGCTGACATGCTCCCACTCAGGCTGACGTGCAAGCCAACAGATACCAAAGGAATGCCATTGGCCATCTTCCCAAGCGGGCCTTGCGACCAGGGGACCAAGTTGTACTGGGGAACAGATCATGTGTCAGAAGTACCTACCACCTTGTTTCCAGCGGCGACCGGGTGTTGCTGCACCATGACCCGGGCACGTCGGCTTTGTCAAACCAGAGACCCGCTCAACAATTGTGGTTTGCCTTGCGGTTCCCATTAAAACCTTCGCATGTGGGGTATACCCAATGTGAGCTATCGTTTGATTCACTGTAGGTGCTCTTCTTGGATCTCGATGGTGTCTTGCATTCAGTGGAGGCGCCCGAGGAGACGACAGCGAGTCTCACGGCCACGTCTTTGGGCAGAGGGTGTTGGGTTTTGCACGCGCCCTTCCTGCAAGGGATGGATGAGCCCAGAATTTCAAAGGGTTCGTCTTGTCTTCCGGAAAGGCTTGTACAGGTACATTGGCAGTTTGGTGAACATCCGCTGCTTTTGAGAATGCCACCTTGTCCTCGCAACTGATTCTTACATGCCAGCACGCACGGTCATTGGGTAAAAGGCTATGGTGAATCCTTGGATTTGAGGTCGTCGAATTATAGGCCTTAGCAGTTTGAAAGCTCAGTGACGCTCATACCGTGTCTGAGGGCCGGTCACAATTTCGGTTAGATTGAGGAACTTGGCTTTGTGAAGGTTGATCACTGAATTGGTTGAGGGTGAATTTGAGCAGGCCTCCTGGCCATAGTGGACATGGAGGCATGTAGAAAGCAAACTTGGTAGACACGCTTGGGTTGTAATGGGCCTCTATTGCAAACTCCTTGTTGGACCATGGCTGTTTTTTTTCTTCATTTCACGGTCCAAACATTTGAAAAGTGTTCAGCTCATCCAATGAACATTCAACTCAAGTCGGTTGGAGCCAAAGTTATAAGTTACCAGGAAAGCTTGTGGTACGTTCGGCCATACACCTGGCCTGCCGCTCTTCGGCGCGATGTTCTTTCGGCAGGAAGAGTTCTTCAACCCAGAGGCGCTGCTGCAGCTCCTGCGGGTGGTAAAAGCTGCCGATGCACGGGTGGTCTTGTCCTCGAGCTGGCGCCTCGGCAACGACTCGGGCTCAGGTTGGATGGGGGTAGAACCCCTGGTTCTGCGTACTCCCCTACAAAACGTGGAATTCAGGGATCGAAGGATCAAAACGGGGGGGTCAATTCCCCAAAGGAGTTTCCTCGTGATTTTGTTGGGTTCCATGTCAATCTGGGGAACAAGTGAGCAACTACCTCCACCTACCACCAATCCAAACCACCAAGAGAGAAGCTTTATTTGGGCCTCGCGAAGGGTTCTGGCGGGAAGTTTCGTCACGCGCTGATGGGAGCTTAAGCTGCGGCCACGTTCATTTGGCTGGATCTATTGTAGCGCCAGACGGGAGTTTCTCCACTGCTAAATCAGATAGTGTAGCTCTTCTTTTACATGCATGCGGGCAAGCGCAAGTGAGCCTGATTGCTTCCGACAACGGTCTCAAACAAACTCTACCACAGAGCTCATGAATAGAGGAATGGCGCTCATTCAGAGCAGCTTCTTTTCAAGTGCCAGATGTTGCTCATCACAATTTAGGGATGGAATCGCAGGATTGCCACTTTCCCCCATCTGATCGCCGGCCGAGCTGTGAGATGGCAGGCTGTGTGATATCGGCGCTGCGGCTCGCCTCGAGACCTTGCATATCAAGCCGGGGCTTCCACGTCTCCCATGTTTGGATGGGTTAAGTTCATCTCAGCATTCCATTCCATCCATTTCACCGGCTAAGAGGTGTCCTTCCATTTGCTTAAGAAGTATTTTCGTGCTCTTCTGTTGGTTGTAAAAGGAATTCATTGCTACTGGAAATATGTTTTTTCCTAGGGACGTAATCAAATGGAGGTTTCTATCCCGTGTTTGGCGGTTCCGCGTCTCATTTTGTTTCCAGCCCGAGGCGGCTCAAGCCTCAGCAGCGTCAGCAGGCCACCGAGGACGGCCATGGTGTTTGCTCATGGCGGGGCTCTCAAGAGGTTTGGTGTGGTTTGGCTTAAGAGGTTTGGTGTGGTTTTGTGTGGTTTGGTGTGGTTTAACCCTCCAAGTAGGTTAAAGGGAAACCACCAACCAGTTTCTGGCGTTGACCCCCCAGAACTGGTCAAAATATTATACACTCCCTCAGGTTAACATGGAAGCTCCCAGAAGGCCTCTGTAAATGGAACCAAGTCTGCCAAAGGGGTCCCGGAAGTTTCCATGTTAGTCTGGAGGAGGGTATCGCCCGGTGAAAGGGCATGTGTTTTCGGCGGTCAGAGGACTTTAGACTTTAAACTCTGGAGAACCCGAAAGTTCAGCAGATCCCACCCAGTCTCGAACCCGAACCCAAGGGTGCAGTGTGGCCTCGCAGGTGCCTGATCCCTCACGGCCTTCGGCGCCAACCAAACCTCCAGCCCCTGATGGATTTCATTGCGCTTTAGCATCTTTCCAAGGGTCAGTACTATTTGGGGTCGCTTCCCTCAATCTCCTTGTAGATGTGCGCGTCGGCAGAAATTTCGATCCATCACAAGCCCCTGAACACCTGGTCGATTTCGAGGGTGAAAACGAGAATGTAAACATGGCTGAACATGAAGCGAAAGGGCAAAGCCAAACAGCTAAACCGCCGGCTTTGGGCAACTGAGATCAGGGTCAAGTTGATTCCAAGTGTTTGGGCCATTGCTTTTGGTCACTTCGCGTTGGGCGTAGCGCAGAAGACGACCTCGAAAGTGACCTCAGCAGGCCATTGGCGAGAAAGCCATCGATGCAGCCGGTCTAATCCATGGGAGACAGCCACTTCTGCAAGGCACCCCCAAGGAGAAACGCAGCCCATTGCCCATTGACCATGCAATCACCAGGACATGCTCGGTCTTGGGAAAGCACCAAAATCAGATTTTATGAAGCCACAAACAGTGCTGTTCTTTCTGGCTGACCGTGTGTTGATGATCATTTTGTTGTAAAAGCTGCTGTGGAATTTATAGTTTTTTTTTTTGTTGGAACCCTCTCCAAGTCAGCCTTGATAGGCCCAGGGCTGATCAGCCTATCAGTTCCCAATGCTTTGTGAGAAAGGCCCAAATAAGAGCTGATTGGGTATTGAAAGTACATGGTGAGAGCAAACCACGAACGAATCTGGAGAAAAAGCCCTAAGCTTGTTGGTTTGCATGATTTCCAGGACTACAGGTGGATCCTCTAGCCAACTCGAAAAACACTGGAGCCCAGCCACGCCTAGCCATATTGTTCCAGCCGGCATCCCACTTGGCTGCCTTTGGTTATAAATACTTGGCGGCTCCTTAGCTTTTTAGCTTCTGGTTAGTTTAGTGGTTGTTTCCATTCAACCCACGAAAGCGAAACTTTTAGCAGGGGGTCAGAAAACGGACAGCCCAGCATAGGTCAGAAACCCCTACCATGGATGTACAAAATCCTACACCAGTTGGGATGGATGAAACCCTACAAATATTGGGATACCGGTCAACCCGATTTAGGAGGTGTATCACCCCCACCCAAGCTGCGGAGCGCCGGTGAGCTTCGCAGGCCTTGGGCGCCTTCGACGAGCTCCTGCGGCCCAGCGACGCAACCAAGGACCTCCGGGATCGCGAAGCTCCGCGGAAGGACGAGCTCCAGTTCGGCGGAAAGGTTTTTGGAGGGAACTCTCTTGGTATCGGTTATTTTTTCAAAGGGAAGCCCGTAATGAGTTGAATCTAATGGTTTGGAAGAAGTGTTGATGTATGTTGTGGGCAATTGTCATCACAATGCTAAGCCAAAAGCTTGGTTCTACTTGATTGCATGGGTGCCAGATGGCCCTTGACTTTTGCTAGGGCGATGCTATGCAAGAGAGCATCCAAACTCTAAAGCCGAGGCTGAGATCCAAACTTGGCTGCAGGAGAACAAGGCTCAGGCAGGGCCTTCTCGAAGACTCATTTCGCTTTTCGGGTCACATGATTTTGTTTGGACAGATGGATCGAGTCCGCAAAATCGAGCTTGAGGTCTGGCCCAAGAAGGAGAAGCATGCTTCTGGCTCAAAAAGTTCATAACTGCCACAGTCACGAGCGTCGAATGGCTTTCATTTCAATTCAGCACCCGTTCGTGGACACGCCCAACGCATGAAACAAAGTGGGCGTTCGCCGCAGGATTGGTTGGTCTTGGACGACCTTCCACTTGACTTGCCCTTGGAGCACCTGGTGAGGACCGATCCCTTTCTGGGGCCACGTGGCGTGAAGGTCGGGAAGCCGTGACACAAAGTGAGACGGGGGCGTCTTTCTGTGAGGAAAGCCTTGTTGGGGTGGATTAAAAGGGAAAACCAAGAAAAATGACCCATGTGTAGTTTTTCTTGAGACAAGCCCAGATCCGAAGAGAGCTCAGTGCATGCGCGAGATCCCAGCAACTAAGGCTGACCGCAGGGAAGGCTGACGAGGCAATAGAGAAGCTGCGGAGCATGAGACAGAGTCTTCCAGTACCTCAGCGATCTCAGAATTGAGCCGCGTTTGCAGTAGGGTACAAAAGGCAAAAGCGATTCGTTGTCGGTAGCCGTTGACGAAGACTATGTTTTGGAGAGGCTCCTGTGCTGGTTGAGGTGGTTCTTTTTTTACTAGCCCCCGCTTTTTACTAGCCCCGGCTCGGCACAAGGCCTCCAAAGAGGTTGGCTGGGGGTTGGTGGGCCGATCCCCAGCATTCCCGGTTGTTTGTCAGGGCTGCGTATTGGGCCTGACTTGATGGCAGTTCAGAGTTGCTCAGGGCTGGTTTGGAGTGAGTGATGGGATTGATGAGGTCTTCACGAGGGCGGGTGTTGGCTTTGTTTGGGTTCATTTGGGCTCGGCAAAGGGCTGATATGCAGGATGCGGTTGGGAGGGTTTAAGGTTGACTTGGGGTCGGTTTTGGCTTGGTTGGGGCTGATTTGTGCTAGGTGTGCGGCTGGTTTAGTCGTGGCTTTCGGGTTGCTTCAGGGATGTGGTTATGCAAGTTTTGGGCTAGGATTCGTTATGCGTTGCCCCAAACCACCAATCCTAGCCCTAACCAGCCCAAAAATGACAGTACCGGTTGCCTCAGCAAGTAGGTCGCTGGGTTTACAGCCAAAAACAGCTCCCGTTTGCAACATCAGCCCCTCAGTCAAGTCAGTTGACGGCCACCTAGACCTGAGGGGTCAAAGGGTTCACAGCCCGTGTGTGTGTGTGTGTGAGTGTGTGAGAAAGCAAATTAACAACTACATGAGCGTTGAATATGTATGTCTACAACAATATATTCCTGTGGGCGTGTGTGTGTGTGACTATGCTGTATGCTTGCATGTGTCTGTGTGTGTGTGTGCGTAAATATATTTGCACGTATGCATTGTCCTCCTGCTGGCATGACCTCGTTTGATGCTTATTATAACTTCATCCCGTAGAATGGTGTGCATTGTAGCTGTGAATATTTGAGTTGGTAAAGCAAACATAAGACTGAGCAATGTGGATTCCTTGAATACAGAAACACTCTGGTAATCAAGGAAAAATCCTTGTGTTTAAGGACTTATCCTTCTACTTAAGGAATGGTATGTGTGTACTCATGGAATTATGGTTGTTCTTCGGGAATGTTGCTTGTCCTCAAGGAGTTTGCTTGTTTACAAACACTTGGGAAATGTTGGGCCAATCTTTGGGATTGATCCGAGTCCAAGTTCCATCTAAGTCCATTTTGAAGTACGTTGTCCCTTGGAGTTCCGATTGCCATTGTGAGGAAAGTTCACCTAATTGCTTGGGTTCTGAGAATTTCTTCGGCAGGATTGATTGAAAAGATGTACGACGTTGTTGTTTGTTTTCCACTGCTGTTTACTCAAACCGCACTACATTGACCAGCATGCCTGAGGACTGACACGCTCACCCATCAACCACCCAACGGCACCATATCGTTTTCTCCTGAACCAGCGCTTCAGCATCTACTCGACTGCCAGCATCCACTCCTGCCTACAGCGAGACATGGACGGATGAATTCTACAGTTCTTACTGCCCAAGGAGAGCCATCACTGCATTCTGCACAGCTGTCACGTTGTCTAGGGTAGTAACATTCTGGCAGGAATGTTCAAAGATGTCCCTATAGTTTAACCGCTAGTCATGCGAAGTAAACCTGCAACGCAAGAGACTCGTTGTGTTTCTCATGTTGACGTCGGTTGGTTGCTTTCATTGGCCGGTGAGCTCGCTTCGCCCTTCGACCCTGGATTATGTGCCCATGTATGCTTGACGTGTGTTGGATCATGTTTAATGGATGTCAACTGATTCAAGTGTGTATGTGTATGTGAGCATGAGAGTGTGCGGGCATGTATGAGTGCATGTGGGCCAACTTGCGCAGTAAGTGGCTTGCTCTTCTCGGACAAGTTCGGGTAACACGGTCAAGGGAGAGAGGTTCTGAGGTCTAACCGTTGGCAAGGACCTGACCATCATTCACCGGTTACCTCGTCAACAGGAAAGCCCTCAAATCCATTCTCTTTCTCCTTGCCCTGTCTCCCGAAGCAATCTTGGATAGGCGAGGGGAGTGACAGGGAAAGGTTAACCGCTATGACGAAGAGATGAGGAATAGCCTGTGAACCACCTCTCTTTCTGGTCTCTTGGATAACGACCAGACGGAGGCGGGTACTTAGATGAGTGTTCTGTAGGTATTTAAACAATCGTCAGCATATATGTTTGTTTTGCCTGATGTTAAATCATGTGTTTGTTGGTGTATCGATTGATGGGGTGTTTCTCTCCAAGTAGGAACCAGCCAAGTTACACGTCTTTCTTATGGAATCTGAGAGTGGCTGCGTGTGGAGTGGGCTGCCAGTAAAAAACAACCACTGCAATTTACAGGTGTTACCCTTGATTTTACGGACTGTGGCAAATGCTCTCAGACGTTTGCGCCTCGGACCAAAAGGGCTCCTTCAGATCGAGGACCGTGTTGAAGCGACGTTTGTGGGGTTTGTCAAGCTTCCAAGTCTCAGAAAGAATCTGTGTGGCTATGTCACTGGCTATGGCGTCCTCTCTGATTTCTTTGAATGAATGTCAGTCTTGGAACCAAGGACTGCGCGGGGTCGAGAAAAAGCGGCCGATGGGAGTTCAAGTGCAGCATGACTCGAAGAGCTGGCGGCCATCTTCTGCTCGAGCTGCGCGTGCTCGAGCTGCAACTAATTTCGGGTTTCCTGTTTGCTAAATTCCAGGGGCCGCAACGGTGCTTTGGGAACCTTGATTAGCTTCTGACTTGTCGGGCAGCGAACCCATTCATGGGTTAGTTGTGATTTGGAACAGAGCAATTGTCAGGTGCGTGACTGATTGCTCAGGTCGCGCGGGCGGCTGAATCCTGCTGCATCGCCACAGGCGTGCATCGAGACAGGTCCCCAAAAGGGGACCTACCGTGCGTTCGCTGAGGCCAAAGGCAGCTGTCGGGTTTGCCATAAACAAAATGTCCACAAATGTCGGGCTTCTTCTTGAGGGAGGCATTGCAATCAAGAAAAAGAGCCCACATGTCAACCACAGAAGGAAGACCCCCGATGTGTTCGAGAGCTCTTCAAATGGCAGCGAGCGTTTAGTGTTCGTCAAAAATCCTTTTGAAGGAAATACGCATGAGTTCGGGTACCTGTCCACCCAAATGTTGATGTTTCGACACCCTCCCCTGATTGCCTGAGCTGGTGGGCAAGCTGCATCATGGCTTTGTTGTTCTGCTGCGACACGGACACTGGAGTTCTACATGCTGCCTTGTTGCTCGGAGTTTCCGTCAGGTCAGTACATCTCAAGACGGCCCACCCTTCACACAGTCGACATGCTTTTCGTAGTAGCCACTACTTCGGCAGGCTCTAGCAATTGCAGTTGATGACTTCACATGTTTTCGTCATAGCAGTGTGAGGTGGCTGCCCAACGCGCACAAATCAGCCAGAGGGGAATTCCCTTTCGGGGAAAAAGCAAACCTTGCACATTTGGAAATTCCGCAAAAAAACAGGCAAGTAGCACAAAAACGGCAGGTGCGAGAAGAGGCTTACTCAGCCAAAGAGTGGTGGGATTCTGCAATCTTGGTCAGAGATGGGACGTCTTCAGCAGACACATCTGGCTCAAGCCACAGCCCGTGCCTGAATCAGAAGCTGTCTTGAGCTCCTTTTCGGACGTCTCCCTCTACACACACGGCAGCTAGTGAGTTGGCTATGAATCTTGACATGGAACTCCCTCAGTGGTTGGCGAACTGAATCCCGACCTATATGATGTCCACCGGGTCCCTGATTGAAATTCATGCCCGTTTCAGCTAGATGCCTTGCCGAGCAAGAGATAGAACGCGGCAACTCGGCGAGGCCTTGAGGCTCGAGCGCAGCCGCAGCCATGGATCCCCCAAGATCCGAGACTGCGAAGCAGACGCTGGGCCAGACTAAAGCTACACGGATTCGGATGCCACGATAAATCTGTTCAAAGAATTGAGGGCCTTTTGATTTCGGCATCCGTCATGTGGGCTTCTGCAATGGAAGGCATGTTGTTTAACATACTTTGTCTTTCTGCGGAATCGCTTTGAGGTCTTGTGGCTATATACAACAATCCTGCATTCAAGTAACCCTCAGTTGACCACCCTGGGCCTACCTTCAGCCCCAACCCGAATCTTCCACCCTACTTGAAGCCCACCCACCCCAGACGGGATCCTTGCCCAAAGCGAACCGACCCTACCCTAACCAAGCAGGGGCCTGTCTCAAAAACCTGCAAAATCAACCCAAACCCCAAGGCTAGACCAACCTCCACCACCAAGCCCACCCGAAATCAATCCCAAACCAATCCGCAAACCCAGCACACGGCCTCCAGTGTTTGTTATTTATCCCGCGCCTTTGGTCTTGCTGAATACCCGAAATTGCCCAAACTCAGCTGTGCACCTTCAATGGGTAGCAGGCCCGTGCCATTCTGAATCGATAGAATCGCAGCAATCAAGCTTTGAAGTCTTCACAGATGTTTCCCAGTTGGTCAGGGACCAAGTGTCCTTTTTTGGTCTTTGAAAAACACAGTCGAATCTGATAGTTTCAGGCAAATATGCGACCCTGGTTTTTCCAGCCAAGTCTCTGTTATGCTTCCAGGGAACATATGCGACCCTCGTTTGAGGTGGTTCTTGACACAGTCCAATGTGTCG